CGATCCAGATCCATCATGTTCCTCCAGTGGTTCTGTGGTATAAGGGAATAAGTCACTAAGGTGAATGTCTATAAAACAGAAAAATAATCATCATTATACCTGAGAATATTGGCTTCTGGGGAAAAAAGTCAATGTTTTCCCTTTCATTCATAAAGAATCTTGCACATTTGGGGTGGAACCACAAAATAAGTAGCAATTTTGAGAATTCATTACGTATTTGTACAAATCCACACTTCAAAAAAATAAAAAAACTAAGCCCACTTCCTTTCTTAGGAGAGTCTGAAGTTTTGCAGCCCAAATATATTTGGCCTGAAGTAAAGAAAAAGAAAGAAGTGAGAATTTTCTTCTTTCTAAGATTCTCCCACCAATGACTGAGGCCTGGTTCCTCCGAGAATAGGAAAGTATCCTCACACGGGACTGCAGAGGACAACGGGCCTTTTTCTGAAGTGGCAACTTGTTTATGTGCTCACCGCGCCTCTGGCAAAAAGGTTGTTGATGCCGAGTCTGCTAAAACAGGTACGCTCCCTCCTCCTGCCGTCTGTCCTAAGGCGCGTAGGATGGCCTAGCATCTCCTCACCTCCCTGCAGCACTGCCCACATTTTATACAGTCAGAGTACATTGGAATAAACATTACACAAGTATTTTTCCCTCTGGATAAGTTACTAGCCATGGTGGCTCTAACCTAGCATGCAATTACAAGCAGTACTTCAGCCTATAGTAGAACAACGCTTAATGCAGTGCACAGAGCTCTCCAGTGTCCTATACGTGCAGTCACCATTTCATCCCCAAAGTGACTGAGGTGGAGACATGACAAGGCCAAATTTCAGGGCTACCTGATTTCCTGTCAGTACCAATGCCACAGCAGCTAATCACTCTGTGACCATGAAGTCTAAGTTAGGGTTAAGATAAACTTGGAGAAGTTATCTTCTAGTGTAATAGAGCTACATAGCAAACACCAGTCCTCAAGTATGCCGTGACTCAAATCTCAGATGGCAAGCTGTCTAACATTTAACCCTACTGAATGACTTGGGAAATAGTATATACTGAAAGCAGGGGGGAAATCCTGAAGCCACTTAATCAGTATGCTGGCTGCTGAGCCAGTGATGATAGTGACAACAGTGGACTGTTAGGCTTCAGAATGTGTTTTCCATATTTGAATGAAAATAAAACTCTTTGAACATCTTAGTAAAGCTAAGTTGTATCAAAACAATCTGTTTTCAGATTCAGCGAAACAAAATTCTACAGCTATACTATAAGTCTAGACCAACAGCATCTTCCAAACCATGCATAGTCCAAAAGCTAGACAAAATAAAAATAGCATTTCTACCTCTTTCATTTTGCAAACCTTGTATCCAATTCCCACAGTTATCACTCCATTGGTGGTGTGCCAGCATCAAACTGGGATAACAGCAGGGAATTAGGCCTGTTGGTTTCTTTCTAATAAAAGGAATGGAAGTCAAAAAAAACAAAAAGCACCTTTTAAAGCAAGCTAATGTAACAAAATCCCTTTGTGAATGTACTAGAATCAGCATATGGCAATTTAGCCCAACCCAGAACACATTCTTATTCATTAGACAATGTCCAGAGTGTCTGGAGAGAATATCAAACATTATCTTGGAGGCTATGCTACAATAGTGAATGCTGAATATTTTGGGGGGAAAAAAAATCAAGGAGTGAATGTTAAATATGAAATAGGTGTGAATTTTCTTTTTTTTATTATTTTTTAAGTAAGGTTTCTTCAATCTTTAGAAATGAGGAAAACTGAAGGCTAAAAATCACTTAGCTTAGTCAACTGATTATATCTATTTTAACCTGCTATGGTTGCTTGGGAGCTGTCTTCCTAATCCCTGCTTTGTCATTAGGCTATATATTGCCAGGATGGAAATGGCATCACTGCACCATAATTCAGCAATATGAATACAGAACAAGGAGAGTGCAGAGCTATCGGCGGCAGTACAACAGCAGATAATAAGACTCTGTTACTCAAGCAGAATGTGTTATGTAAAGACAATTGCAGTGTAGAAGCAACAGCTCTAATCAGGTTAATTAGGCTGTATTCATGTTTCATTTATGGTGCAAGTGCCCTGTAAATTCAAAGCAGTCTACCTAATCTTATTGCACCTCTTATACAGCTGTCATGCTCTCTGTAACACTTAACATCATATATTTTCTTCCTTAAAAAAAAAAAATCCCAAGATAGTTCCCATTGCTTTTTAAGAATTCCTTTTCTTTGTTGTTTATGGTGAAAAAAAAGAAAAAAAGGAAAAGCTACTAGTTGTGTATAAAGCCCATGCCCACATTAAAGTTCCTTCCTCTGCAACCGAATTAGGCACTTGGAAGTTGTTTGTGGAGGGCCTGTTTAATTGCATTTTATTTTATTTTCTTGCTCACTAACATGACATGTTGAATGTTTAAGATAAATCCTATTGGCTTTAAAAAGTGTGGCACTCACTTTTGCTCCTTTTATCCATTTCCTTAAAGTGATAGATTGTCTGTTTATTCCCTCACAGCTAGCTGGAAGGATGTGTCTGCTTTGGAGAAAGGATTAGAGCCCAGTGCTGTGACCCTCAAACTCTAGCTGTGTCTCCTCTCTGCTTAGTGAATTTATTAGGTTGTCCCTATAAAGTAATAATGGGTACAACAATTCTGAGATCGCTTTCTCCTCACTCCCAAGAAAATAAGTCTGGGTAGAGAGGAGCTATTAAAAAGAGAGAGGACATGCTGCAGATGAAGAGAACACAGCAGCCTGCACAATCTTAATTATTTTTGCTGTCTAGCAATCAGCTGTCTACATTCTGATTGCAAGATTAGACTCAGTGTTCCCCACTAAAAAAAGAAATGGGGTATTTTCACTACTCAGAACAAATCTATTCATGTTACACCTTAATTATAAAGCCTTTTATTAAACTTGAAAAATATTATAGCTCCATTTTAATATGTATGTGTCCCTTAGACATTATTTCAATATGCTGTTAATAGCAATGTTTAAATTAAGTCTCACTTAGATAGTTCTGTATATAAGATATATATATTCTTGTATATTCTGTCCTGTGGAAGTGTGGCCAGTTGGACACGACAGCACAGTATTTCTGCGAAGATCAAGCTGTGGTGCTGATGAGCAGTGCCATAAAAGCAGGGTGACCAAAGCAGAAGAGTTTTACACGTTACCGCTTACAGCGTTACACTGCTGCTGTGCGTTTACTTCCATTCTGGCTGCAAAAAAAAATGTGACTGTTTGTAAGACATTTCTAACTACATTTGACAGTGCATATGTGCCAGCCAAGGTACGCTGCTGAATTTCACAGGGCCTGCAAATGTGGTGCATCTTGTCATATCTAACACATTAGTTAGCGCCCTAGAAGAAAACATCAGGTAAAATCCATATGCACTTAATTTTTCGCCATCTGAATCCACAGTGAACCAACACCCTAGTTATTAATCTCTTGTAACGGTTCATATGTCTATCATATATTTGTAATTATTTTACTAGACACACATTTCATTTCGAGGAAGGTCTGACTACTCATCCAGTTGTGTATCTTTCCCTTTATGAAGGCATGCTGCAATATTAAAATTCTTGAGATTTCTGGAGGTATCGGTAGTGAAGGTGCCCCATCGAGACAGCCCTCATTTGACTTGTGGCTTGCCCCCATTTGCCCAGCCGGCGTGGCTGCAGGGAGACGAGCGCGCACCGCATGGCTGCATCCCTGGCTCCAGCTCAGGTGCACTGGCACCGCCATAATAAACTTCATTATGCCTCAGTCAGGTGGCATCACTCCAAGTTAATGAAGCAATCATGTAAAGGGACTGTTTGGTGGGGCCTGCGGTAAACATGTTCTCAGGCCCGATGGTGGAGGCCTCAGGAGCCACGCTCAGGTTTCACCCTTCTCCTCCCTGAAGAACAGCAACAGCCAAGAAACCCTGGTTCTCCTCCTGGAGGACAGGGTCTAGCTGCCTGCCTATGTGCATTACTTGCGAGTGTGTTGCACCTTTCACAGCCTCAAGGAAATACCAGATATACATTCCTGAGCTCTCCTTCCTGCCCCTTCAGTAACCCTTGTACCCAGGTGGTTTTTTACGTGATATGTAGTTTACCATTTGACCAAAAGACAAGCTTAAATTCAAAGTAAATGTTAAACACTTGGAAAAAATAGGTGTAACTCCTGACTTAGTTTTGCTAAGGATTGGTCTAAATGTGGGAAATTGTGGATATATTTTCCCAAGAGTGGCAGCAGCCAAAAGCCCTTGAGAACCCACTGAGAAGGACCCAACGGTCCCAGCTCACTGAGGTCCTTCTGGAAATGTAACTTGTTTTTAATTAGATTATTCTCATAAACAAAGAAATTAATTTCCCTCCTGTTTTCATAGTATAAACTTTGACCATTAGCCAGAAACTAACGTGAAGGTCATACTGACAAGATATGTCTTTCCAGGTATGGGTAACAAGATATGCTTGGAAAGACAGCCGTGGTAGATACCATGGAAAGACAGTTTCTCATTGTATGTCTATGAGGTCTAGCATATCTCAATCCTGAATCTAGGAAATCGATCACAAATTCTCCTCTAAAAGTAGAGTTTCAGTGTGACAGAGCAAGGTATGTCTCCAAAGCTGTGACCCTCAGCAAGAGCAAATTATCAGGAGATTGAAGACATGACTGGAGAAAAGCTAAATAATTTCAGTTATGATTAAGGAACTATTTTGATTTAATTTTAAATTTTAATTATTGTTTTACTATCTAGCTACAATGTGGAGAAATTGGGGAAAAAAATAAGCAAGATATTTTGAAAATGAAATCTGTTTCACATAGAAAGTACATTGAAATGGTGAGGTGATTTGAAGTTGTCAGCATTCATGACCTCAGAAATGTTTGGTCTTTGATTGATCAATACACATTCTAAAATACTCTTATTTGTCAAACCAACATGCCAAAAGAAACATGTGATAGCACATACCTTTATAAAAGAGAACCCAGCATGTTCACCTTTACTTTATCCCCATCATGCGGGGCTTGATATTAGCCCTGGTTTTAACCCTGGTGGGTAAGTAACTTGTCTGCTTTGATGAATTTAAAATAATAGGTTCAGAAAAAGGTTTCAGAATCTAAATATAGTTCACTTACAAACATGAACTTTAACATTTTATAGAAAAAATTATGACAACTTTTTTGTTGTTTAGGGAAAAAAGGCTTTTGGTTATGCGCTGAACTAGAAGTAAAGCTAATTAGAAAGAGTTATGCCATATGTACAAGATGAGATATAGCCTTTCATACTAAAATACATTAACATTTTGGGGTGGGTTTTTTTTTTTTTGCTTTGTCATTTCATTACTCTTTTTTTCCCCTTCTCTTTCAGGGAGCCAGCATCTTAATTACCGTAAGTAATTTTCCTATCAGCTAATATAATTATAATGAGTGAAATTCAAAATAGAATCTGAAAAGTATATCAATGTTTAATTTAATTTTACAACAGCTAATTTTGTTCAGGTGCAATACAAAAATGAACAAATTCATCTTTTTTGTTCCATACATTCTAATACAGGTACTTTAACATGTTCTGTACAGTCTTGATAATATTTTATGGGAACCATTTCTTTGCAGAACCCGATTTCAGTGAAAACAAGGTTTATACGTTTAATTATGAAAGTGTGCTTCTCAGTGGACTTCCAGAGAAAGGACTTGCAAGAGCTGGAATAAGAATAAAAAGTAAAGTGGAAATTAGTGGTATTGGGCCAAAACTTTGTCTTATTAGGGTAAGAAAATGTATTCAATTTGAAAGGTAAAATTCTCTTCATACTTGACTTCTTTTCTAAGCTTTTCGGAAGTAATTAAGTTTCATCATGTGTTGTGCTTACTCAGGGAGAATGTAACTAACACTATTATTTTTTATGCAGTGCCCTAAATTCTATTTGCACTTTGCCAGGTAATTCTCAGCTCAAGCCAACCTTGGGCTTGAAGGATTTCTTCTGCTTTGTGGTCAGGGAGACAATGGAATGTAATTTGAAATGCACAATAATTTATTACTGGATCAATCCAATTGTTCCAAACTGTACAACCTAGGATTATTTAATCAACTGATTTCGTAACCAGCAAACGAAAGTCAATAAAACATGCGACAGTAGCTGGATGTGATTCAATATTTAGCATAATTAATGTCATCTGGTGGCTTCTTTTTCTGCAGGGTCCCAAATGACATTCTTTGTCATCCTCAATTGTATATTTTTACTGCATGCTGAGTAATTACTAAGAGTTCTGATTATGTGAGAAACACTTTTGCCTTTAACAGAAGCCTATACGTGCTTCTAATGAATGTATTGAAACACACTCCTCAATTGCTTTACACAAACTCCACTTAGTCTTGGGTATATGTGGAAGAAAAAATCATCTTTTTAAAAGCTTTTATTTGGAAAATTGAAAACTGCAGATTAAAAAGACTGGCGACTGTGTGATAAATGCTTGTAAATGCTGTAGCCCTCCAGCCTGAATTAGCCTTCTGTTACTAGGTATTTTTATAAGTTCAAATTATAATAGATCTAGACAGGAAACATTGCTTTTCCATGACCTTTGCAAATGGCTGGATTTTTTTGCAAAAAAGCAAGGAAATAAGGGCCACGTCTGTACTGGTGAGTAGAAGGCTTCTCTGGCAGAGAGGAGGCAGAAGCAGTCTTGTCTTCACCCCGCCTCCTCCCCCATTCC